TGTAAACCAGAAAGATTCGTCTTAAGTGTTCAGTCTTCGCTCCGTTGCTCAATGGTTTTTAGGATTGTTTAATTTGAACATAACTTTTATCATTTGTCCTGCTTCGTGCATTTCACCTCCAGCCTCTCCCAGTCTCCCTGTGGCTACCCCCCCCCCCCCGGGTACTCCCAATACTCCCTATAATGGGCTAATGCGGGGAGGCGTCCGAAAGGGTACCTTTTTCAGACCTAAGGTATATGAAAAGTGAAAGGATAGGCTACTGAAGTATTTGAAAGGGCAGGGAAAGCTCTCTTATCGGTCTATAACTGTTTTAGTTGGTGTTCTAAGTTAAACCAGTATCAAAAACTTAAGAGTTTAGTTTTGCTTATCCATCTATTGTTTGATCTTTTCTGTTAAAATTTTATAGCACCTTTTCCCACAAAATGGATGCTCCTCACCGTTTTTGAGCGTAATATTCGAAGCAAATAAGAGTTGACAAGGGAAAACCAAACGTCATTAAAAGGTCAAAAATACCATTTTTTGCTGATTACTGAGTATATGTCTTGGACTAATAGTCACTATAATGTATTCTAAAGAAATTCGCACCAAAATAGTTCTAAACTGAAAGAGTACGTGGAAGTTGCTCACTCTGCGCCGGGTGACAGGTTCCTAGCAATTATTTAAGTACTTGTAGATGTTTCTCATACTCGTGCCAGACTTTTCGCCCACGGCTAATTTTTTGTGGCAGGGTTAACCGTGAGTGTCACGAGCGTATCATATTCCAAACAGCAGTTTAAGTTTGATATGGAATCAATTTTTTATAAATGATCATTTTTGTTTTAAAAGACAATTCATCGAAATTCAACTGATATAAATTGCAAACTGGAAATAGGACACGAAGGTAAACTGGGCAGTAGTCGCCTTGACTACCCGCTTATGTGGGCTTGGACCCGCCCTACACACATATCAGAGCACCTACACACACAAACAACCCCCTACAAGGGGTAACCACGCAGTCGGGGTTAATAAAATTTCGGGTTAGTGTTGTAAACTAACGTACGGTTGAACATGATCGTCCGGGTGAAAGTAGTCCTGAATGGGACAGTGTTGTTGCGTGACTGACGTTTCGACAACCTGTTAGGTAGTCATCTTCATAGTCAAAGTGAGTTGTTGAGACCCTCTGTAAACAGCTATTACAACATTATCATTAATATCGGGAAAAAAAAAGTCACTGCTTGGTTTTCGAAAATCCTAGAATTCATCGACTTTTTTGTAGAAAAAATAAAAGGCAAGATGAACAAGATCATCCTCGGCTGATAATTGTTATTTAGAGCATCGCCTCACGGTAGGTCATAGAAGATACAATTAAGGGTTCGTTGGAAACCAAGAGACTATAAAGGGGACAGAGAGGCCATCCCCCATATACACCCTATTCCATAGGTAATTCGTCTCGAGTTATTTTTAACACCACAGATCTCAAGGGGGATTAGACAACAGCCAATCACATAGCGCGAATGTGTTCCGCGTGGATGACCCACGCTGAGAGCCACGCGTCCCTCACGAAATGACGCAGAACAAAATGGGGGAAGACGCGGAGAGCGATTTTGCTATTCCTTTTGTCGACGAAAACGACTACAGCGAGATTTCTGCGAAAGCTGTGTCAGCGAAACCGAAATTAAAAAAAGAATCGCCCTTCCTCTCTTGTATAGAGCTAACAATAGAGCAGGGAAATCCTTAACACACTGAATATTCTCTCAGGATCATTTATAATTTACAGTTTGAAGAGAGCAATTTCTGGTTTGATGTTTATTTTTTTCAGTCTTTATAGCGATTATTCTTACCCACCTACTTTGTCAACTGTAGGCGAACCCTCCTAAAGCTGAATTTCAAGGGACCATATTCAAGCTCAGAAAGAGAAATAAAATTTCGTCGTTGCTTATTTACGTCCTCCATAAAACGCGAAATTAGGCATTTTCACGTCGTAGTCGTGCAAAAACGGGAAAGAAATGAACAAAAAAGTGTGTTGCACGTGCGAAGTTGTTTTTTTGCTAATTAAACCTATTGTTTTTTTGATGTTCTAGTTGTCGTCCGCGTCGTTGGATCTTAAACTCCCTAAATTGTACAAACGACCGGTTTCAATAGACCGGCGAAATTTCTCATTTTATTAAAGCACTGAGGTTACGACAACTTCGAGTTAAACTGATTTCACGGGTTGTCAAAGAGTCCAGCGATTCCTTTTTCCCAGGTGAGCGCCGACTCATTTCGCTTCAATATTCAGGAATGCTCTCGATCTTTTTACGCTTTCATTGCCTCTCGCCCGACATGTTTTGCACGGCGTTTGGTCATGCGAAACCTCCACGAAACATCCACGCCTCGCGCGAGGAAACTTTATCCCGATTCTAAAAATAACTCGAGACGAATTACCTATGGAATAGGGTGTATATGGGGGATGGCCTCTCTGTCCCCTTTATAGTCTCTTGTTGGAAACGTATTTGTTTGTTTGTCGAAAAGCAAGATTTTGCAGTTGCCAACCGGAGGAACCTGGTTCAGACAAAGAAAAGAAAAAGAGAAATAAATACCAAGTGTGTGAGTCGCGCAAATGGACCTTCAAAAATCTCAGAGTATAATACTGTGGCTTGTTCGTCGCAAAAAAAGGAACTTCCTTGAGTGCAAAACGCCGGGTTTTAAAAAATTTTCTCCGTAAAGCTAAGTGTGAGGTTTTCTCGAAAGAGTTATAACGGGAATTATTGTCGTTTCATGTGTAAAAGCGCCATATTGGGGGAGAAAGCTTTCCCTGGGCAAAATACGGGACGGGGGAGAAGAGTGATACATATATACATACAATCTAAAGTGTGAATTTGTCAAAGAGTTTTCTCGTTTTAATGTTCAAAAAATGAAATACAATGCAACTTTCAAAATACGTTCAAACTCAGTGTCTATTCAAGACATTTTTTTTTTCATTTTCATTAAAGATTATTCACTAATTTAGTGTATACTGTGTCACAAATTTATATAAAATAAATCATATGTAAGGCTGCGGAAATGGAATCAAATGAAGAATGATCCTCGCAGATGTGAACGTAACCGCGTTCGCAGCTGCGAGGATCATTCTTCATTATTGCGGATCATTCTTCAATATTGCGTTAACAACTGAGAGGATCATTCTTCACTTTTTGACATGGTTCGTACAACGTCAGTCAAAGAAATTTCAGGGACTTTTCAAGGATTTTCCAAGGCCAAATTACAGTTTTCAAGGACTAAGATTTATTTGATAAATCGCCATTCTTTAACCACCTTTGATCACCCTATTAGCTAAAACACGTCATGGAGAGTCATTTATACGATTTTTCATTCTTAGGCCATCGTTGATCACGTTATTAGTCTCGCTTGCGTAAGCAGCGAGACACATAATTTGGAACGCGTTTTTGCCCCGGGGGGTACTCCCTTATATAGGCTATATATAGGCATGTGCAGCGCCAAGGGGTATAGTTTTTTAGCCGTTTTAGTCTGAAATATGGTATCAATTTCGACCATTTTGGTCTGAAATAGGGTATGGTTTGTGCACTCTAGTCTTGAATTGGGTATGTTTTTTAGAATCGAAGAAGCTACTTCTTCATCATTTGGCGATAAGACCATTTCTCTTTTAATGTTTACGCCAACCGTGTACGTGCCGCAACAGCTTGTCACGCGCTCCGGTCACTTGCCGGGCTCCAGGTCTTGAGGTATGAAATACGGTAAGGTAAGGGTTTCAGGAAGCGTGTCTCACACCCCACCTAATTTTTCTGGAAGTACCCCCTCCCCCGGGGGGAGTTTCGTCGTATTTTATATACAAATGGGGAGTCATTGTGCCAGGCGTTCCTTGAGGAGTCTGTGGAAACTAGGACTAAGAATCGTTGCGTGATTGAAGCCACGCATGTTTTGGGAAGAAAGCTTCGGAAAGATTAAATTTAGATCAGCTTTTCCGAAACGTGTCGGTCCACGAATTCTATCGCTTGAAATCGTCTATTACTTTGGAACAAGTGAACACTACTGAGTGGTCGAACAAAAAAAATCTTAATTAACAAAACTGCGATGCTCGGGTGTTGTAATCTTTCATTGTATGCAAATGGTCTTGTGATGAGCAATGAGGCGATGATTGAAATGACTTGTCATGTAAATCACTCTTTAGATCTCTGGCAATAACGTAATTTCTTTGCAATCGACGCCCTTGAATTTTCGTGTATTTATACACACGTATAGCCTGCGGCCGCAGACGTATTTCCGGTCGTCGCTAACATTCGTACAAAATTAATTCAGAAACAAGTAAAAAGTATCGACGTCGATAAAGCAGGAAGTAAAAACCTTTAGCGAGTAAATCCTGTTTCGTGTAGAATAAGTGGCCTCCTCATTTCTTGATCTAAGCAAGCGAGACTGAACGCCGCTATCAGCGCCTTCTTGTTTTATACCATTATACTAGTTTCCGAAACAACGAAAACGAAACGCGGCAAAATGACCAGGTATGACTTGCAAGCAGAGAAATAGCACTTGAAATAAAGAAACAGAATTAATAAAATATTGTTCGTGCACAAAAATGTTATGTTACCCGTGAGTTTTACTTTTTCAAGTACTTTTCAAGGACCTATACCGAATTTAAGGACTTTTCCAGACAACTAGTGAAATTCAAGACCTTTTGAAGATTGTACGAACCATGATTTGAGTGGATGTTAATATCGAAAATGTATTTCAACAAAGTGCAAAGTGGTAAGGTCTCAAGGGTGGAATGCATTAGTTAAGAGACAAACAGCTCCGAAATAAAAGACTACATACGGTTACTTCGATTCTCTATCCCAGTGAATTAAGTTTTACTTTTTTAAAATATTATATGTCTTATTTGTTTGTTATAAAGTTCGTAACAAAAAGAGAAAATGAGTACATTGATCCAGAGTCCTTGCCTCATGTCTTAGCTTGCTGCACTTTGTAAGCAACACAAACAAACAAAATCAAACGAAATCCACACAAGTTAAGGTGTAATTCACTCCTTGTCAGTCTGATGTGCACTTGGCTTCCTCCGAGTCACATGGGTAAAATTTGCTTTTCAAATATGTCGCCGCTGCCCCAACAGTGGTACCTATGGCAAATTTTGCCGCCCCACCTATTCCGGCGGCTCCAGCACTCTGGAGGGCTGCGAAAACAGTACCAGAACCAACTGATGCGCCGTAGACTGTAGATTGGACAGCTGCAGCTGCCGAACCCGCTGCTACGCCTGCAGTGGTGAACCCTGCAGCACCAAGAGCAAAAGGAGTTGCGACTACAGCTCCTACTCCTACAAATATGCCAAATTTATAGTTACTTAGGCACCAGGATGACTCGCTTTCCGACTGTCTTTTCTTGTCCTCTCCTAGTTATGAAATACAAATGAAAATGGCAAATTATTTATTTGAAGCAGCCGAATTATTGAAATCAACAACAACAACAGCAGCAGAAAAAAGAAATAGAACCGAAAGAGGTTCTGAAGAGTGCGGCGCCGATGAACTCTCATAAACGCCTAGTGTTTTCGGTGCTGTCGTTTTGGATTTCTTGACCTAGGGTCGACTAAAAGTCTTGTTCAGGGATAAAAAAAAAAATTAAAAAATTGGAAATAATAACGTCAAACCAAATCAAAATCACAAACTAAGATGCAGGCGGTTTACTCAACACTTTCATGACGAGTGTTAGGCACCGGCATATCTATGTCGACCGAGAAAAGGAATAATCGTTGGGGCTAATCGTTGCCGTTAAGGCAAACTGTCGCGCCAAAGGTAAGTTGTTTATATGTTTTTGATCAGCGCGATCCGCTCATAATTTACTTTTCTCAACTAGACTGCGAGCAGTCTGTTATTTTTCTTTGCAAAGTTACTACGCGCGAAACCGAAGCACGCGAATGGCGAAGCCGCGAGCCGCGATAAACGAGGGCGTAGGCCCGAGAAGAAAAAATAAAAGACTGATGACTCTTTTGTTCTGTCTCGGGACAACTAAGCTGTCAAGGTAATTTAATTAACCAATTAAACCCGAGTGACTTGAAACGATTTATAAACAGAACTTTTGACATAAACAACTAAAAAATTTTACTTCTTTTAAAATCCGGTAAGATTACCTTGAATTCCTTTCCCTTGAGGAAATTTTCAACAGTTTCCTTGTGTAAGATAGCCTTAAACGTTTTAGTTTACAAGCGATTACTGCCAGGTTCGTAATTGTTTGTTGTTAGTTGCTTTGTGACGCGTGACTATTTTATCGCTTGCATCTTCACCACAGACCAGTCAATGATCTGTCAACAGCTGTAAAATTGACCAATCGGTTACTCCGTTTCTGGGCTGACGGAGGGTTTGTTTACTACAAAAGAGTCCGCAGTCCATCTTTTCTCGTCTGATCCTAATCCGTTATAAAATAACGTCGTGGTTTGCAATCGCGCTGACTGAGATAAGAACTATACGAATTTTAAGAGAAAAGGCGGACTGCAAGCAGTCTATTTCTCAACTTTCGGGCATATTTCTCGAAATAGCACACTTGCCTCCAGAAAATATTCTTAACGTTTAAAAATTCTTGCAAAGAATATTTTGTTGAGTACAAACATTAATCAAGTCGACAACAGCACCCTACTCCAAACTCTGAATGTTCGGCGGCAAAACCTGTCATGTTTGCACCCCGAATTATAACGTGTTCTTTCCCGACACGTATACAAGCTCAGATTCAACCGACGGCAAAGCAGTTTACAGAAGCATTCAAATAGTTCATGAGGATAGAACATTTCCAATTCCACGCTCTTCAATTTTCCTTACTTAGCTGAGTTCAGAACGGCGAAGCATAGGGAGAGTTTACGGGTAAAAGAAAAAACCCTCCGCAGCGCGAGGTTTTTGTTTCGGCCATTCATCAGAGCCAATGCATATTTTATAGAAAAATCCCGTTGTTTAAGAATATCTGAAATAAATAAAACATAAGATAAAAACATAATAATATCAGAATATCACAGTACTCTTTGCTCGTTGTCTATCCAAAAATTTGCATATTAAGCATAACATTATTTTCAAATTCTCTTGGGACATTTGTAAGTCCTAAGAGTATACACCTTTTCACGGTTTTTTCAACTTTGTTATGGACAAGTTCGGGAAAATCCGTCGACACCACAAAAAAGTAGCGCCTTAAAATCAGTAAAATCGCCAAGTTTGAAAGTGATTTGTTGAAAAGTAATGAAGATACAGCTCCTCAAAGTGGCCAAATTTTGCCAGTTTGTACTCCCCAACATACAAACGTCTGTAAATTATTGCAACTTTGCGGATCGGACCTATATCTTTGCCCGCTAAAGACGTATCACTTTCAAATTTGGCAATTTTACTCATTTTAAGGCGTCCTTTTTTAGTGGCCAGTGTCTACGGATGCAAAAAAGTATTATGGTGTTTTTGAAAAAGGCTTGGAAGGTTTCCAAGAAACCACTCGAGCAGCTTAATTTCTCGGAAACCGAAACCGATTAAGTTTTGTGTCACGTAAGGACTATTTTCTGTTTCGTATTGTATTGTAAAGATTTAACCCTGAATTGCTTGGAAAAAAGCGATGTTTGGACACTCTCTGAAGCCTAGATAACCTCATGATTAATAAATCATAAAATTAATCTTGTGTACAATGGACGCAATGCGTCAACTGAGACAAAATTTTCTCGGTCACTTAACGAACTGAGTGAAACCGGAAAAATTCAAATTGGGATATTAAATTAAGGACTACCTTGTTTGTTCTATAAATGTTTGCTTGTTCAAGGCGGTAACAGACGTTATCGCAATTAATTGAAGCAAATCAGGTTTTATTCCCATCAGAAAAGCTCCTTCTGTTTATCCAAAAAGTTTCCGAGGTTGTCGAAGGTCACGGAATATCCGCCGGCGTTTACGAGGTTTGAAGCTTTACTGTAGGCCCGCAATTCAAATTGGTTGTAGGTATCATAATAATGGCACTTAGTTAGACTAAATATAAAACTGAAAAATATATATCAGTCATTAAAAAAGAACGCGGGTCAGTGACGGTTGCCTCTGCACTTACGAGAGGTTCGTGTGCTATTCTATTTTTTCCTTGCACGCGCACTTACTAACCTTTGATGGGAGAAACTGTCGAAAGTAGAAGTAAGAAAACAGCCCAGCTTGTCGGACTCCCCCTCATGGTCGTTGACTGAAGTCACCGAGAGAAATTACTTCAACGCAACAAGACGGACTGACAAGGTAGCTGGTTTGCTCTTGAGCGGCTATCTAGACAACACTCGAAAGATGACGTAATTAAACCACAGGTCAACCATTCAGATTTTTCTAAACCTCGTTCCCAAGGTTCTCTCTGAGAACCCTGGAAAAGAGGTTGATGATTGTTCACCGCAAAGCGAAGTATAGAAAGGGTAGGGAAATCTGTCATATTGGTCTGTAAAAGGCCCAAAAAGGCTAAGAGATGTATTTTATGGCTGTGAAAAGTAGCGAAAACGTCCCGTTTTGCGATGTATTCATAAAAGTATTTAGAAAAACAATGCTTTTATCGGCAATTAAAAGGGATGCAAAGTCTAAACTAGGTCAGTATAAAAGGGCAGTTTCATTTTTCAATAGGAGGTGTACGTTTTTTGTCAAATGGACTCCTAAAACTGGTATTTAAAAGGGCTGGGTAAGGGGTTGGAACTAGGGGCGGAACTTCCCCTTAGAAAACCGTTTTCTAAATCCCCCCTGGGAGGTTAACATGCAGCCCAGTTTAAGAAAAAACTAGATCTCTGATTAAAGAGATGCTGTTCTCCCGGTATAGGCCCTGAGGAAGGCTAATTTTGTTAGCCGAACCACTGGCTATAATAAATCAGCCCTTTAATTGCCGTAGTGCCAGCCCTGCATTCAGTTTTGTTTTATTTTCCAGTTTAAGAGTTACCTGCTAATTTCGATCAACAGAGAAACAATGCGATTGAAATGCGAAAAATTTTATCAGAAACTGTGAGAGAGAAGCAATCTATTTTTTCCCTTGATTTTAACTGTTTTCGTTGGAGTGAATTTAAACCTTTTCCTTTTACATTTTAGAGATGCTATCCCCACAAAAATGCCAAAAAATACCTTTTTTTTTTGTTTTGCAGACTATTATGTGGAACTAATGTATGTATTCAGGATAAATTCGCAGCAAAATCGTTCTATTTAAAAAACCTGATCGTTGAAAACGCCAAAACGGCATGGAATTTGCTTAATGGGCTCCTGGTATCGGTAATAGATGTTTGTCATACTCGTTCCAGACCTACGCGCACGTCATTTCTCGTATACTTGTTAGTGTGACGATCTATCGTAACATACTAGTATTCCAAACAGAAGTTTACTATGGAATCTTTCTTTTTTCGCTGATAAACGATAATCATTTCTGTTTTGGAAAACAATTCAACTGATGTAAATTGCAAACTGGAAACAAAAAACCAAGATAAACTGGGCAGTAGTCGCCTTGACTACCCGCTTATGTGGGCTTGGACCACCTAACACACATATCAGAGCAACCCCGGAAACATATCCATTGCAGGAACGTCTATTAAAAAGGTATCGTTTCTATTGAAACAGAAACTCATTTCTGATTGAAATTTCTGCTTGTATCATTGCATTCAAATTTGTTTCATCTTAAGATCAAAATGCGATGGATGCTCAATCATCTTAAATTGAGGGGCCTCCACAAAGCAGTCGTGTTTTATCGCACGTCCTCTTGGAGTATCCGCAATGACGTCAGGAATTTGAATTGCGTGACGCGTTATTCTGTACTCACTGGTGGCTACCGCCAAGAACTACGATACAGGGATTGTTATAGTTCCAGTTTTTTAAACCAGCAGAAACGTTTTTATTCGGTAAGTAAAACACTTCGTCTACTCAGTAAGTTACCTTTATCCCATAGGCCTTAATTTCCGTCTCAGGTCACTGAACGTGTACAACTGGTTCCTAAATTAAATACATTGGGTCGCCGAAGCCGGCCGCGCACGAGGCCACTATTGTATTCGATTTTGCATGTTTTTAGAACCCAAAGAATATCCTGTCACTTCTCTGTATGTCATTGAAAATGCATATTATTTTCTGGTACTTCGATTTGTAGAATGCCAATGTTTAGAGTTTTTTTTTTTGTCTGCGTGTAAGTTAGCTATTTAGAGTAAATGGCTTTTCCGCCATTTTTTTATTGTTGACATATTAAGGCATACGGTTAACGACTAAATCTGTTGAAGTTGGCAGTGTATTCTGCCCTACGAAGGTATTTGCTTGGACCATTCTTACGGGATCATAGCTAGGGTACCAGTTCTTGATCTAAACGTTGTGCAATCGATGCCATGACGACCTTCTGCACATGTCATCTACTTGCCCCAGGGGAATATGGGGTGGTTTAGATTCTCTGCAACAGGGGAGTGGAAAATTTATTCATTGTTTTTTTTAGTTCAGACGAAACAGGTGTGGAAATTTGCAATTTTGTTAACACCGTGGATGGCAACCACGGCGGGGTGGTGGGGGGGAGGGGTTCACTGGGCTTGGTTCCTCAAATCTAGCTGGCAGAATCACAATGCTTAGTCCTTTTTGGCGTACAGTGTAGCAAGCTGCAAAGGATTTTTACCCATCTGTTTTCAATTTTATAGGGAATTTATTCCACCGGCAGGCAAGGCCCTAACCATTCCTGTTTATCGGGTTCATGCATGGTGATTGGTTGAGGTCAAACACAAAACAAAATTGACTTGACCTAGAGATACTGGAAATGAGTAGAAGTTGAACAATTTTTTGATGGCAGGGGCACCCAACAACGATTCCCTCCTACATACATTGAAAACACTTTTTAGGCTATCCAGAGTACTTTTAGATCTCTAGAAATGCATTCTAAGCGGCGCTATAAAATTTGTATCTGTTCGGTCATCCTAGGGTAACTTGAATCTGTTCAAAATTATTAGGGTTACAGTAGTACTTCCTGAAAATTTTAGATGCAATTTAATGTTTTACGAAAAGGAGAATTTTCTAATTTCTCTCTTCATCCCCTTTTTGAATCCAATAATTTTAGGTTTCCTTTTTACTGTGAAAATAACCTAACCTGGGGAGTAAAAAGTATATAAAAAAAAATAAAACTTCAGTGAATCGTACATGGCAGATTTATTGGTAAAGCTTCGAAAATTGTACATGAATGGAACAGTCATCTAGAAATGTTTAGCTGTCCTCAAGTTATAGAAAATTCTAGGCAATATTTGCTTAGAAACTCCGAACAGATATTTTAAAGGAAACAGTCATTGAGTGCTCCTGTTTGTGGCAATTGGCCAAAACAAAATTCAGTAATAAATAATGCATGGCAAGACAGCAAAAAAATAAAATTATTCATTTATTTGAAACATTCAGCATACAAGTCTTGACATTCTTAAACTCTGAAAGAGTGAAGCGGATTCTGTCCAGTAAAAATTCATTATTTTAATGTCCTGGTTTCAATCTACCCGGAGAGCCAAAGAAAAATGTTTATTGCATCGCACCAGCGATCAAATCAGGGCCATCAAAACCTGTATTTAAAGAAATATAAACTCCAAACTCCAGGGTTAAGAATCCCAACTGGCCAGGGGTAGACCAGCTAACTATTTACAAGCGTGGCCAAGGAATTGAACTCGGGGCTACCGTGAACAAGTCCAACTAGCGGTCAGAGTGAGACTTGAGCTCAGGGCCTACGAGTTGCAAGTCCAGCGCTCTAACCACTCAGCCATACTGCCTCCTAGCATTATGAATTTGTTTCTTAATCAGCTCTTGAAAACAACCCTAAGTGAGCCTGTCAACATCTGTGAGCAAATTAAAATTGCATTAAGTCCCAACAGTGTGAAAATGGCAGGGATCAAAACACCTGATGAGTGATTTTGCCATGGCATTGAATCACATATACCTGTCTCCGAGCTTGTGGTTGCTTGTTGGATCGTAATTAGAAATGATGCAAGCATTTGTGCATCGATCCCTGGAAACTTTCCAGGAGAGATGAAATACTGCATTTTGCCACTTATAAGAACAAGTATTCGATAAAAAATATCATATAAAAAAGCACTAAGAACTTGAAGTGTAAATTTTGTTATTAACATCAAAACATCGAGTTTCTGTTTACCTTTCCTTTAAAAACATAAGTAGGCCTTAAATCACAATAATATTATTATTATCTCACTCATGATTACACTGCTGATATAGAAAGGGGAAAATGTATTAATAGTAAATTTAAGACTTGTGAACCAAATGCCACTTTGATCTATCTGATAATATAGTGCCAAAAAATTGAAAAGTACGTGCTGACGCTGAATTTACAGACTGTAACATTTTGTGGCAATACAAACGGGTCTATTGATATCTGGCAAGTTAGAATATGCAAGTTCTTTGTCACTGCTATGGCAATGTTAACAAATTTAAGAGACTTTGCCCAATGTTCCTAAGGTAAAAACAAATCAGCAGTAACCTTTTTTATCATTGTTTGCTATTTTTTGTCCATATAATGTACTTTATAATTAAGTGTACAAATGTGATTGAATCCTTGCATGTTATAAAAATATGTAAATTAAGATCAATGATCAGTACTTTGTTAAAAATTACACTGAAGCTCACTGCTAATTTATAACTAATTTTTAACTACATAAAAATAGAGATGTAGCGTAAATTTAGTTGCAGACCTAAATCAAAACTGTTTTTTCTTTTTGGAAGTATTTAATAAGTTATATACATGTAAGGTTAATTTTTACTCAGTAGTACAAACGAATTCCTCCAGTGTAAACACTGACTGGGAAGGAAGCAGTTTTTGTTTCATTAACATTTGTTTGCTTGAGTCATTATTATTGCTCAACCCCAGCAACTTTTGTGCTCTAAATACTGTTGACGATAAATAAAGGAAATTTATTAGTAATGATAATCAAAAACAACCACAACAGAAAAAGGTTTAAGTTATAGGATGTAGCCAAGCTAAATTATTCATGACCAAGCAGTTTTCCCCTACAGTGATACATGACTGATTAAAATATTTAATAATTTATATGGTTTTCTTAAATTTTACAAATAAAAAATCAAATAAAAAATTTAAAACCTCATTTAACTCTTCAGGGTAGTTGTAGTGGTTGTTGTCTGTTTTTCAGAGGTTGAAATCTTGCAAAACATAAGTTCATAGCACAGAACTCCTACCTCGGGTAGGAGAGTGAGGCTGGGAACAAGGTTGAGCACAGAATTGCTCAAAGTACAAAATGACTGTTTTGGCTTACTTTTGACTACTTTGACCAAAAGTATTTTAACCTAATGATCATTTTGACTGAACTGCACATTTCATTCGGACATAGGCACAGTCTCATAACATGTAGTTTACAAAAAGTCAATCAGATTGAATGGAGCAGGAAAATGGTCAGGCTTATAACTATAGTGATAGGCAATTACCTATTAATTTTTACGTTCTGCTAACCGTTACTCGTATTTTGCACTAATGTACATTTAGAATCCCATACTTTATTTCTCTGTGCTTGCTCAGTGGAGCGGAATGTGGAAATGGTACATTTTTTGACAAAATAATTATTATTGTCACAATGTTTTTATTTATTTATTTATTTTTTAATTTAATGGAACTTATTTTGTTATTGTTTACAGGAAATGAGTTCAGGGGACACCATCAAGCTGTTGATTTGTGGAAGTGGAAATGGGGCACATGCCTTTGCTGGAATTGCATCGTCCTTGAAAGGAACAGAGGTTAGGGTGCTTAGCTTGTATCAAGATGAGGCAGAGCGTTGGAATACTTCAATGCAGAAAAAGGATCTGGAGGTTACTCTGCATCGTAAAGGAAAGGACACAACCTCTATTCTTTCCAAACCAGCTCTGGTTACCAAAAATCCAGAAGATGCCATGCGCGATGTTGATATCGTGGTGTTTGTCTTGCCTGCATTTGCTCATCAAGTTTTCTTTGAGGCGATAAAGCCACATACGAAGCCTGGTACTATTATTGTTGGTATGCCAGGGGAACCAGGTTTTGAGTTCCAGGCTCGCTATGAGCTGGGTGACACAGGGCGACAATGTACGATTATGAATTTTGAGTCGCTACCTTGGGCCTGTCGCATCACTGAGTATGGAGTGAAATGTGAAGTTCTTGGCACCAAAGAATCTCTTTTAGGGGCCATGAAGGTACATTACAGATAAAGATAACTTTGTTGTCATTTAAAACTAAGAGAAATTATGGAATTTGTGATCAGTAGTGGTTAGGCTCTTATGTAAAACTGTACATGTACTGTTTTTTTGTTTGTTTGTTTGTTTTGTTTGTTCGTTTGTTTGTTTTCTAACAGCGAAACTAATTTCCATCTCAGTTGCCTCTAAATTCCCGTGGATCCAGCTTACTTCCGTAAATTAATTGTCTAACCTGAAAAAATTGGTCTGTTCTTACTATACAATACTTATCAAAAGTTAAGTGTATAAATTTTTGCAAAAGCTTATTACGCTATTAAAGGCAACTGCATAATATTATGCTTGAATAACTGAACATCAATACGCAATCACGCATACACATGAAGTATAAAACGTCAGTTAACTTTTTATTATTTTCATTTTTGATTTTTGGTTGTCTATAAAGACGGGGGATGTGCCGCCAAAGAAGGACCCAGTTGCGACACTGCAGACTCTCTTGGGACCCCTTCCTCAGCTGAAAGTGTCAGGTCATTTACTTGGTGTTCAGCTAATGAGTGTAAATGCCTATTTGCACACGTCAATAACATATGGACAGTGGGAGGGTTGGGATGGCAAAACTGTTGATCAGCCACCTTTGTTCTACAATGGACTTACCGAGGCAGCTGCTAACCTTCTTTCCGATATGTCTGACGAAATTGTGAAGACTGCCAAGGTTATTGCCGAGAAATCGGGAGCCGACATGTCAGAGGTAAATTTCTACTTTGTTTCTCCTTTATCGTTGATCCCTTTGAAGTTTTGTGCCGTGTTTGAAGTATTTAAATTTTAAAATTTTTTGTCCCCGCAGGGTTCCGGCCCAGAGGCCGGAACCCGAGAAGGCACCCTAATGTCCCCCGCGTAAAGAAGAAGTATCGTATTACTGTTAGTTATATGCGAAGCTTTCCCGATTTGATGAAACTAGGCGCGCACGGTGGTCCAGGTTAATTTTCAGCATGTGCGCCTGGCTCAGCAACTGCGCAAACTGGGTTTGTCAACGAGTCGCATTCGCCGAATTGTGTCGCACACAAGCACAACAAGTGGCTCCAGAGGATTTTCCACTGAAACTCCTCTAGAGCGAGAACGCCGACTTCAAATTCAGCGTGAACAACGAAGGAGAAGACGTCAACAAGAAACCGCGGAGTAGAAGGAACATCGATGAGCACAGCGAAGGCAACGCCGACAACGTAACAACAGACAGAGGAACAGGAGATTGGAATCAAAGGAATTATGATCGTTTTACACTGTCGAAAACCCAGATTTCTTAGTTTGCCGGTTTCCCCGCAGATATATAGATCAAAGTCTGCAAAGTTTCAGCTCCGTATTACGGCCCGAATAATGATAATTTTCAGGCGAACTGCACCGGGCCATATTTGTTCTTTGTTTTTGTCTTTTTCTAACTGCGGGCGGCGAAATAATGCTAAATGTGCTTTTCAACACACTGTTAACAATAACACTACATAATACGCAAAAAAGAAGAAGAAGAAAAGAAAGAACAACGTAGGGACTTTTAACACGATATTCGCGGTTGGTCACCCGTCCAGTTCGTAACCCCGACCGACAGGGCTTCACTTGAGTATACATATTTCTATAGGGTTAAAAAGTTATTCAGCAGTACTGCAATTGTTTGGTATTAAAGAACTTGATTTGTCAGACACAAATCAGCAACGTGGATCGACAGAACTTTGAACTGGTTTTGTCATCGTGGATCGACAAACTCGATTCAAACCACATCAGGAATAGCTCAAATTTCTCAAAACCCAGTCAAAGACAAGAAAGGTGCTATCGTGAAATAACCGGGTTTTGTTCTATATTAAGGTATTCAGGGTTTAATAAACAGTGGTCCATGTGTTTTTAGGGTTAGTTTATTGCGAAATCCCGATTATTTTATTTGATACAAGGACATGCCAGAAAAAATGAACTGGGAAATATCTCAAAGGTGAGAAACTTGAAACAGTGGTCCATGTTTTTGTAGGGTTAGTTTATTGCGAAATCATTTATATCAGTTGCGTTCGACGTTGCGTTCAAGAATGTCACACTCGAAGCCAAAGCATCCGTTCGACACATTAGTTATAGGAAATTTAGTTACAAATAGATAATTAAAGATGGTTTTGCTGTTTAACACGCGTTCTATTACATTTGCAGTGTTGATTGAACTCATTATGAGATGTATAAAAAACAATTGTCCATCCAAGGCATGTCATGTATGAGGATTTTCATTAACCCAGGAAACAAAGTGTAATAATTGAGAAAACACAAAAGGGAACAAAAGAATTACACTCAGAAACTCTAATACGAAAACTGCATTTCAAAGGTTCATGGCAAATACATGGACAACACAAGGAGTCTTCATTCGGGTTTTAAAAGGTCGGGGGCAGATTTAGTGACAACTATAACTAGTAATATTGGATTCTGGCTTTGAATGTATGAATGTATTTTATTGTTGTGTTTACAATGAAGTACGATACCTAAACCGGCGATTCAATACAACAACATAAAATAAAATAAACAAAAAAGCTTAGGTCAACTACTTTGACCTACTGCAAGTATGTTAATTAATAAGGTGAGCGATGATGCATGTCAGTGAAAATGGTCATGATGTAGTAATCTCAATAGGTGGGATCTTTTTTAATAGAACGCTGTCTAGAACGCTTTGTATGTTGCATGACGAAGAAAAGCTGAGCATTCAGTGACCTTGTAGTAGCGATTTCCGCCGCTTTGCACGAGACTTTGTTCGTAGTAAATACGCTAACAGTGCTTCTCAGTTTTTGTTATATTTTTAAAGATTTTGTTCGACGACTGAAGGCGTTTCCGCCGTCTTTCTGTCATTTTTATGCCTGTGAAATGTCCCCGGGGTGGGGGCATTTGATCACCTGAATGAACCCTAGTATGGGGCATTTGAACGGCATTTTGGCCCAAGTAGGGGGGAATTTGAACATTAAATTTTCAAAAAAGTCAAATGCCCGGGGGGTTGCCTGGGGGAGGGGATGTTGAAGCTTCGATTTGACCCATACATAAAGATCAGTTTAATGTCAAGGGCTTTGCACTTAGCCTAGTCTGGGACACTGGCCTCGCTTTGAAACAGAGGCTTGGGGCAACTCAGAAATAGTCTATTCTACGTGTTTTATTTGTAAATATGTAAGTCGTTTACAAATATACATAAAGACTTGTAATAACCAGAGGTTACGGAGTGTGGGCGACAACGATCTAAAGTCAAAGGCATTTGCTCCAACGCAGTGAGTGCTTTGCGTAGGTTTCTTGTGACATATGGTCAAGGCACGCGTGTTTTAGATTACGAGGGGTAGGAGGTCGAAACGCGCGTGATCAAACTGCGTTCTGTGCATTCCATTCATTCTTAGTGGAAGTCCAAACAAATGCTGGCTCATACATGCGACGCATGCATAATAACAACCAGGAGATTAGGATTGCGGGCTCCTCTTGTCGCCCGCAAAAATCAGTCCAAGGACGCTACCTTGTGGTACTTCTCCCTTCACCTGTTGCAGGTCTAACAAAATCAATCGCTTTTGTTTCTTCAGAGTAGGACAAAAACCCGTGGCTTTTACTTAACGTAAATCGTATCGCAGTGGGTACGAGTCACGCCACGCACTGTTAGGTAGCCTGTGCTCAATGCAGGAAAAAAAGAATCCAAACAAAGCTAAATTCATAGCTATATTCTGATTCCTTACCTTAAGCTATCTGTGTCTTATGATTGTTTTCTTATCTCTCTTTGTCTTTAATATCACATTCCTGAATCCCACCTCCTCCGTAATTGAATGTTTGCTGCTCAAATGTTATGGGCTGATACAGATACGTTATATCTTCTGACAGGTTGTTAACATTTATTATTGGTACATGCGATGCTATCCAGAAGATATCTCAGATAAGACTAATCTCTACACTGCAATACAAACCAATGCCGCGTACCAAGGGCTCAAACATCCTGTCAAGAAGTCGGACGACGGCAAATATCTACCAGATTTCACGTACCGTTACATGACGGAGGATATCCCATACGGCTTGGTTGTCATCCGGGGTATTGCCGAAATTGTAGGGGTTGAGACGCCCAATATTGATAAGGTGTTGCTGTGGTCTCAGGAGAAAATGGGCAAAGAGTATCTGGTGAACTCAAAGATACAAGGCAAAGATGTCGAGAAGTCCCGAGCGCCACAGAGATATAAATTTACCACTCTTGAATCCATCTTATAGATTTTAATACACCCGTTTGTTAGTAGATGAACAGAATTTATTTGTGATTTTCTTCGCAATAAGCGGCATTCTGTCAAAAAAATGTGATCTCATTAGCGGGACTACTTATTATAACTTCGGACCGGCTGAGTAACGAAGGTGTGCAACGGTTAGACAAGTCGTATTGATCAATTTTAAAGATCTTAATATAAGAAGCCAGTATCTAGCCCGTCCAGAGGTTTATCCTTGAAGTGGAACAGAGTATATTACAAATCCCTACTTTTTTTTTATGTTAGAATCCGAGTTAGAGATTCTTTTTGATGACCATATAAATATCTTGAGTAAACAATCCAAAGTGGTGATCATCTTGGTGTGAATGCTTTCTTATTCAAAGTGGTTCGATGTAATGGGGGGTGTAAAAACATTAAGTGATTGGGAACTCAGAGAGCGTATTATTGACTTCAGGGTTGATGACTTAATACTGATTTATATTTTAATGGGGTCGGGAAAAAAGACACTCGTTAATGCGTTTTCGTTGATAATTGTTGGAAGTCGGAAGTCGGAAGTAGGAGGTCGGAAGTCGGAAATCACATGAGAATTTGGAAGTCGAAACTAAGACGTTGGAAGTCGTAAGGTGTAAATCAGTTGTCCCTCCTTGGCTTTTGTACCTCATGCTTTCTAGTTAGAAAAAAAAGCATGTACATGTACAGCTTGTAGAGTTAGAGCGGTGTTGGCTCGGATGTTATGAAATCTTGCAAATTGATTGATTGTTTCAGGCAATAATATGAACGATTAAAGGCAAGTTTTGTTAACATTCAACATATCTTGGGACAATTATTAAGGGTTGAGGAGACAATTCAGCATCCAATGGTTGCATTAATTTTCTGATTGTAGAATTCTGAGCAGATCCTCATAATATTTGCAAGTATCAGTTTGTCTTTAATTGGCGCAAAAATATTAGTTGAAATATACACATGTACCTTCAAAATAAAAACTGCTTAATCGTCCGGATGGTCTGAATTGCGCAACGTTCCAAAAACGAGGCTACGAACTCATAATCAGAGTATTTAACAATTTGTCTTCGAGCCCGAATGGGCTCTGACTAGGCCTCATGGGCTATTAGAGAGTTTTGGATCCGAGTTTAGCGCGAACCTCTAGCCGCTGGAGGTCACGTGACAAGTCTTTCGCGTCACGTTTGAGGTTTACGACGTGCGTTTTCAACATGGGGAGGTAGGTTTTCACTTATGACATTTACCTGAAAGCTCGGGCTTTTAGCGTATAATTCTTGTTTTATCCCACGTAATGATACAAAAATCTTGTGGAGCAAGTCTTTATCCATTAACAGAGGCACAAATTCGGACGAAATGCTGAATTTTATAAATCCTACTTGATCTTGAAAACAAGTGCCATTCATGGCTGCTGATTCAAAGTGGCGGCCGTAATATAATCTACCGCCAATCTAAATCGAACTATGTTTAAACGTCGAACCGCAAACGGCCGGGTAACCGCAAACCGCGGTCAGAGGTTCGCGGTAAACTCGGATCTAAAACTCTCTATTGACTCAGAGGCCATGAGGGCGAGAGGAATAATTGTTTTAGTAAAATCCAACTAGTTGGTCAAAAATATCGAGACAAAACAACTTTAGCTAGCAAAAAGCGATTCAGCTGCCATTGTTTTGGTTTTCAAAGCCGGCCCTTTTCGTTACTAGTAGGCTATAACATATCCTAGAAGTAGGTCAACCAATCAGAACGCAGCATTGATAATAGACCGCTAGTTGAATGTTACTAATTACTATTATATATATAGCAGATTCCGTGAGAGGGTAATAAGATAGTAACGAATCTCTCGTTCCGATTGTAGCTTACTTTATTTCCCACAAAAAAAAAAAGAAAACAAACAAGCACAAAAAATTAACACGTCCGACTTGTCGATGAAATAAATCCGTGGTTGACTAAGCTTGTTTCTTCTAAAAGGGTGGATATTGGCCTCGTTCTTAATTTGCGTTTTTATTGGCATCGACTTCGGTCGGTCAATAATGAACTTGGCCAATATTCAGCAACCGGCTTGCCTTCTCGTTTGGTCAGTAACGCGTATTTCCCGTCACGTTCAGCAAACGAAGTGTACATGTATATATGCGCTAGGTGTGTCGGTACTGCTTAGGCCAATTTGGTTATTTATTGAGTAGTCACTCTCTGTGGTCATTCTTTCCCTGCGGATTCTTTGTCACCTACATTTCCAAGAACGAGGTATGCATGAAATAGAGTGTTGATTTTCTTGATCTTTCATTTGTCATTGGATATCTAGAGGTGTTTATCTGTGCGGGTCCGATCATGCCATTGATTTATTCAGCCAGTCAAGGGGACTACCCTTAATCAGATTTATACTAAAGCAGTACAGTTCGTCTTACAGCCAGTTATTTGCATTTGATACTAAGGGCTTCCTTTAGGAATCATCCTGGTTATATGACAGACATGCAAGTTTAATCTCCGAATTGAACTTAGTTTTTAACCTTTGTGGAAAGCACTATCCCTACCCATAAAAGAGGCCACGAA